CTATTGGTCCAGTTCTAGTCCATCTATTGGTCCAGTTCTAGTTTATCTATTGGTCCAGTTCTAGTCCATCTATTGGTCCAGTTCTAGTCCAGTTTCTAGTGCTTTAATAATAGGAGGTTCTGATGAACCACAGTCTCCTACCAGGGAAGAAAGTCTTAGAGTATTTGGGTTCAGGATGGGAGGAGTCAGGTGTGATCTTGCTCACCTCTTGGTCCTGGAGGTGTACATTTCCTAAAGAGAAGGCAGACCTCAGCCATTCACCCTCCCTGCAGAGTGAATGATGAGTCTTTGGTTCCTGCTGGTGGGAGGAGCTACCAGATGGTGATGGAGGAACCTAGGATGGACTCAGTGATGGAGGAACCTAGGATGGACTCAGTGATGGAGGAACCTAGGATGGACTCAGTGATGGAGGAACCTAGGATGGACTCAGTGATGGAGGAAGAGGTTCGCAATCATTGTCTTTGGTTGGCTGAACTCTCAGATCCTGTGCTGTGCATCACTAGAGATCCACGCCTGGAGATAAACCTGTTCAGAAATACTGTCTGTTAGACTGATTGACAGTCAGAGTGGTTCCTGGTTCCAGGAGAATTTGAACAACTGTTAGCTGAAACATGCTAGCTAGAACCCTGATCTGCAGGTGTTCTATTCGGACTTCCTGAGTTTTTACAAGGACCTAAAGGTCCGAAGTTCTGGCTGAGGATAGATCTGTTTGCAGGCTTTTCAAATGTAGGGAGACATTTGTTTGGGGTTGAAGCTCCAGTGGCACTGTGGTTCATATATTGATTTATGCTATTTACTCACTACAAAGGTTTTCACTCTGTTTCAATGCTTCAGTGATGGTGTTTGTAGACCAGACATACCTTCATCCCATAATCAAGGTTTATTCATTACATGTTACTGTTTAACCAAAGTGTCTGTAATTAGTTTTGACTCTGACTACTTTCCATTATTGTCAGTAAGGAGGAACGACCGCTGCTCAGGCAGAACAGGACAGATTACCGTTCAATAAGGACCATATGAGATAGAAGGATATATCAACCTAACAGCGAACGACCTTCATGAACTCAAGCTGTTTTTCCTGCAAATGTTCAACTGTAGGAAAGTTCTTTATGCGGGGGGTTCGTTAGTTCCCCTGGGGGGAGGGTGTGTTGGGATTTTTGTACAGTATAAATGTTTAAAGCGTGGTCTGCGCTACGTTATTCCACGCCACAACGCCAGAGGGCCAATCAGGAGCTAGCTGTGGGTCTAGATACGGCCGAGGCGGTGAGGAAGGGGGGGCAAGTTTATGCGACAACGGAGGGACATGAGGGCCAAAAAGAGCGGGGATCCAGGTGGGAAAAGGGTTCCAGCGTTCTCACCTCGCTATGCTAGCTGGTCCATCTTCACCAGTCGTTTTCAACAATGGTGGTCAGACAAACAAAACAAGCCGCTAGGCTACCAAACAGGAAATACGCATAGTGTAGAGCGGATGTAGAATTGACCAATCAGAGGCCTCCTGTCTGCGGCCTACAATTTTGGAGAGGTGCAGCAGAGTGTCTGAGGAGGGGGCGGGGCATATCTGCATTGACTGCGACGCACACGCAGACGGTTTCTGAGTTTAAACCATTATTTTAGCCAAATAAACAGTTATTCTACATGTAAAAAACGAACGGTTGTTTTTGACACGAAGTTAAAAGTAGCGTAGCTTAATGTGGCTAACTGAGCAAGCCAAGATAGGCTAACCTGTTAGCTACTGAGCACAGCTAGCACAGTTACTTTGTTCAGTAGAAACAGATTTTATTTCTCAGTTTTGTTATCAATCAGGTAAAACTTCATCGGTACTTAGAGACGCTAACGCTACAGATGCTCTTGACAATCCGCACATCGATGCTGCGTGATGTTATCGTTGTCTGGGCAACCACAATGTTTTACATCATGTGGCAACGTTCAGCCAATCATGTAGCGTAACGTCACCGGCAGGAAGCAGATCTGGTACAGGAAGTAAAGGTGGAGATGTTCCTCCTTCAGGTGGGGAGAAGCTGCTACGTCTTCTACATCAGGACCTCCGTCCATCAGCTGCTTCATCAACATTCCTCCTCCTTTCTTCCTCCTTCCTCCTCCTCTTCCTCCTTCCCTCCTCCTCTTCCTCCTTCCCTCCTCCTCTTCCTCCTTCCC